CACCAAGACATCAGCAGCTGATCGTCCCTCAGCCTGCCCGACACTCAGAAATACAACATTTATTTTGGGTCAGCGAACGCACCGCAACACATCTGTGTTCGTCTTTGAGGAGGTTAAACCAGAGACATGTAGGAGACATGTTGGAGACACGGAGACACGTAGGAGACATGTAGGAGACATGTTGGAGACACGTAGGAGACATGTAGGAGACACGTTGGAGACATGTAGGAGACAAGTACCCAGTCTGTAAATCTATCAGGAATTAAAACAAGATTAAAAGTAAGTTAGCTTTATTATTACCAAACCCACTTCCTGTTTGTTGCTCTGTCACGGCCCGGTTCGGTTTGAGTTCATACCCACAGACCCTGTTTGTCATCCGAACCGAGCCTGAGTATTCTGGAGGCAACTACCTGCTGTCGGAGAGTAACGAAACCTTGAAAAGGTAACGAACCCGTCCGGAAGTAGCTGAGTAGCCGCTAGCCTGTTAGCTAGCATCGCTAACAGTCAGCCAACAAACATCTCTGACTGAATACGGATCATTTGTGGACTTTCTCGGTGATTTATTGGATCAGAACTCATGACGGGAGTGAACCCGTCCGACTCGACCCGGCTGTTRGTAAAATGTCCGTCCAGCTGTCAGCTCTCCGGCTGCCGGAGGAGAAAGCCGCTCCGCCCGGATAGCTCGTCCTGCTGAACCGGACCTGACACCACCCGAACCCGCACTTACTATTCCGGATTCATGGCGGACTCCTGGGTGTGMTCTGTGGACGCTGCTGGCTGGATCTGGACCGGTGCAGGCGCTTTTATCCGTCAAGAACTAAACAAGTGGCAGGAGAGGGGAATCAAATCAAATATGGCCGTCTGACTACAAGCTACCCGGAAGTAGCAGGCGCGGGGGATCTTGGGTAGTGTAGTTCCTTCAGACTGGGCGTCTGCTCCGAGGGAGGAGGAGGACGGGTTGAGGTGGTTCAGAACCAGAACCGAATCTGTTTTTAAAATCTTCTAAATTGTTTTTTCCAGATTTGAAACAAAACGTTACTTAATAAAGTCAGTTTGTAAAAATGTTAAAGATAATTAGAACTACATTAGCATGAACCCAGCTGGGCCTTTTTAAACATTTAGGGATGTAAAATTCTTCAAACCAGAGCAAAAAGTTAAAAACAAAAGCACAGCTTCTGGACATTTTTTATTTAAAASAGGATCATCAAACTTCACCACTCTGCAGGTTAATATATGATTTAGCACTGATTTATAAAAACGTGGATTTGTTTCAGTGACAAAAATTTTGATTGATCTAAATCTTGTTTTTTTTTATATAAAAATAATAATAAAAATAACTTTATTAGAACTGGTGTCAGTCCTGAAACAAGCAGCAGATGTGAATCACCTGACAGGTAAGACACAGAACAATAAATACAACAACATATAATAAATAGTTCAGGGAAAAGAAGAAAGGACCTCAGAGATTAAAGCCACCGCAGGATTTAAAACCAAAAGTCATAAAAACATCGTCTATAAAAGCACATTTATTTACAAGAAACTTTAACACTGAGATAAAGTTCACTTTAAAACTGAAGMGATCCACAGCTGCTAATCTTCTGTTGTCTTTACATGCATCTTTTTAAMAACTATAAAAAATAAAATCAAACGTACATCGTTGACCTGATACACAAACATGTAGAGAAAATATTCAGACAATCAGCTGCAGGTCAAACCACTCAGTCAGGAGTCCAGAGAAAAACAACAACGGCTCCTTCTTTTATTATTCTGTGACAGAGGAGGAGGAGGACCAGGAGGAGGACAGGAGGAGGACCAGGAGGACAGGAGGAGGACAGGAGGACAGGAGGAGGACCAGGAGGACAGGAGGAGGACCAGGAGGACAGGAGGAGGACTAGGAGGACCAGGAGGACAGTAGGAGGACCAGGAGGACAGGAGAAGGAC